CAAGCAAGTTAGCTTCTCAATATAGTCCCCAAGCTTTATTTTCCTTTGCTAAAAATGTCAAAGTTTGGTGTAAGCATTCTCTATGTCATAGTGAAGGGTAAAACGTAAATGGAAAGCAACCTCAAACTCATCCATCTTAAACACTAATGGTTTTTTATCCGCAACACAAAACCCTTTAAGCCAATTCCACCACCGAAGACCCGCATCACACAAAACTATTGGAATAGCCACTAAAGCCTCTACATTTGGAATTCTTCTAGCAGCCAAGAACTTCTTCACATTAGCTAGTCAAACTAGACATCCACACCACCATCACTGAAAAAAGTTGGAATCTTGAGTCGATCCACCAAGGAAGGTTTACTTGGAGTGCCACCACAACCAGCCTCGAATGCCTCAACATGCTCACGCAAGGTACTCATCATGCCATACATTTTATCTTGCATCTTTTGCTAATTTTTATTAAGGGCTTGCAGCTCGTGAACAACATCTTCCATAGTCCAAACCTTTGCAGCTCTATTGGCACCATCATTGGCACCACCATCGACAATAGGATTCCAACGTTCAACTTGGTCAGCCATCACAACCAACACCTCTTATACCAATGTTATGACCCAACACAAAAAATCAATAATCTAGTCTTTCTAGACTAAATTACACCTCCTCTTCCCCAAGCTACCTCAAAAGCTCCTTTACACCATCACTCTTCAATTCCTTACCCTTGAACCTCCCTTTGACTGATGTTGACCATGTGGTCAAAGCTGGCACCTAACAAATTGCCACACTTTGTTGTAATATATCTCCAACATTAGCATTCAAAACATTAAAGTCTTCTACCATACCTTTGATCTCCATCCCCAAACACAAGCATGCTTACTATAGTAGTTTCCATGATCATTATAACCATCTAAAGTAATTGCCATTTGCTCTTCAAATCTCTAGGTTGAGATAAGCCATCCATATCTCTTCTCCAATGCCCTATAAAAAAGGATTGTAACACCTAAAGAAAAATAGAATCAAATGTGAGTAGAGTGTTACCTTTCAGCCACTGCTTGCACCTTGTCCAGGTCCGCAAGACACAACCAATAAGCCATGCGTTTGATTCACATGTAGCTACTATTTGGTGACGCTGCTACAAGCCTTTCAAAGTCGTCCATGGTCTCTGGAGGCTGGTCCTTCTGTAATAACTTCTCTTTTGCTGCAGCCTCCCTGTTGAGAAGCAGGACATGAGAAGAGTAAATATAAACAAGAAGTAACTCTGCTCTTTCAAGTCAATTGGCACTGTATCCTCAACGTCTTTGTTGAGAGTGGATCAACATGCATAGCTGTGGGAATCGTTTTGATGCCAGATCCACCTCCCTCATGAGCACATTTGTGTTCGAAGGCTCTTCATTTATAGCTTCTTCCTCCATCGGCTCGATGCCATCCTCAAGGGTCAGATATGACGCTTTCATTCCAAGAGATATACGTTTGGTTTCCCCATCAACCTGTAGAGGGAAATCATAACCCTGTGGTTTTACTAAAGCTTTCCTTCTCACCTTTAGAATCTTTACTTGAACCCATTGGCCGACTTTGTAAAGTGTTGACAAGTCTTGAATAAAATCGTAAGACACTTCAGCGACATGACACAAGCAACCTGGAGCACAGACTAAGAACTTGAAACCAAGATAGAGAGAGAGTTTACCACATCGCTCTCGGCAAGGCTGATGAAGATCCCAAATGCTTCAATGTTGTGTATGCGGCCACTAACGATCTCTCCAGCACCAAACTTCTTCCAGCCACTTGAATCTTGTGATGTTGTTGCCGCCAAAGACATTTCAATGTGCCCAGACAATGGCTCGATGCTTAAAATTCTGACGAAGAAGAAGATATCAGCAAACACTTCCATACGGAGAAAAGTTCATACCTTCCCGATATCAGGGTTTTGTACAAACGAGTTCGATAGGTTCTTCAGTTGAATTCTAGCTTCAAGTGAAGGTGCCAGGACCACAAAACAACCTTTCTCCGTCACATTCTTGACAAAACCCTGCAACACAAAAACAAGTCACGTCCACAGCATGCAAGGTTTCTGCTTACTTGCACTTCATATCTTAGGCGGATTGCTGGGAGATGGCAAGGGCAGGGCGTAAACAAACCCAGGCAGAGACAGAACCTCCGCCGGAGCTGGAGCCTCCAATTGACAATACGAGCATTGGATGCAGAGTCAAAAAAATTTAATGCAAATCTCGGAAGTTACCTTTCAAGTGTGTGATAGCTTGGAAGGGACTCAAAACCACCACGTCCACCAACTTACTGAAAGTTCCAAGCCCATCTTTCCCCTCCCTGGTCGTTTTAAATCCAAGACCTTACAAACTGTCCCTCTGTAAATAAACTGGCTGGGTCATCAATCCATGGATCGTTACATGAACTTTTCCGAAACTTTCCCATCTGCTTTGCACAGTATGTCCGCCAACACCAGCAAAAACTCGTGTGATTCGTCGGCCTAACAGGTCGCCTTTCTTGAATTGTTTGTCACTTGTTTTCGGGTGTAGAGACAAATCCACTTGCTTCCTTTCGTGGTTCACACTTCTTATATGGCACTGGAACGGGTCACCGACTTTGAAGCGCTCTTTAAAACGTTCAAGCTCCGAGGGATCGTCAGACGTGTCCAGTATAAAAAGGCAGCCTTTAAGATGGGGTGAGAGGACTAGCCATGCCCAGTTGTCCTTTACTTCTTGAACGTATCTGATAACCGACTGTTCAATGGTTACGGTCTCGAAAGTAATCACTGAGCATGCAGCATCGTTTCCTGCAAGTCATGATAAGTAAGCTAATTCAAAGGGCCACCATACAGACATGCAAGCTCAGATGGACGTAGAGATAAATCCAAAGTGGCAGCATTTCTGTGCTTTCTGCTGGTTTTACGTTTTGAAAGGATTTTAGCTCGAACAGTCTGCCCAACACTGTATTTTCTCAATGGGTTCCCTTCTTCATAATGATCAAGACATTTGAGGAGTTAAAAGACAGACTGGAAAACAAAAACGAACCTCTGTAATGTGCACATTCCCACGTAAGGAGCAGTGGCTGTCCATGGGACAGGGCTTGTCTGCCAGTCCTAGAACTATTGAGTGTTGCAGCCTCCATGAGGCGATTTCTTGGGTGATTTGTGACCTGTGCAGTATGAGAAAGAAGTGACGATTCACAGAAGAATTCTAGAAACATGAAGCTCAATCTTGGAAATGTCATCATGAGCATAGCAGGAAGTTTTGAGCAAGAGGACCTTGGTCTCTTGGAATGCAATGGTCACTGCAAATGCCTAGAATGGGTGTCTTTTGAAAGTGCTTAAGCTGTTGGATTTCATTCCGGCACCTTTTGTGAATGCATTGATCACCACCCATGGCAGATCAAGGATCCTAGCTCAAGCAAGAAACATGTTTCATCAAATCTTATGCAAAACTGTGAGCTCCTGATCACCCATGATCTAACTGTAAACCCAGTAAGGACAATCCAGCAAAACCTTATTAAATCTTTGCAGAACTTACCTTTATCAGTGTCTTAGCCACGCCAGCCTGACAAGCAAGATCCAGGAGAACTGTTGTATCAATCACTACAGCCACTTGATTATATTGTTGCCCATTGCATGGAGAAGAAGCTCAAACTTCTTCTATCACTGTGATACTCTACTATGAGGAGTTCCTTGTTTTCTGTTTATGGACATGCTATAAAGACAAACACATCAGACTACTCAAAAAAAGTGAACTTTTTGACTAGTAATAATGTTCTTAAAGGAAAGTTTGCAAGATTTTAGTATTGCAAGAGTGTAGGACTTCTTTCTTATATTCTTCACTATTTGCTTTAAGATTGCTATAGGAAGAATAAAATTGATAAAAAAAACATTAGTTGAACTCTTTGAGAGATAAACAAGAAGTACATATGAATAAAAAATTGTATTAAAATGAGTACATCATATAAATTTTTTATTTATGTAAAAATTGACAATATCAAAGCAAACCAAACGTTGTTGCATAGTGCAATGCAGAAAATTATATCTATTTGAGTTCGGTTAGGGTTAGTTAGTGTAGATGGTATTGTGTATAATGCCCAACTCTCCACCTGGCAACTCTTATTTTCCTCTAGTGCCCAACTCCTCTAGTGGCTCTTACTTTCCTCCAATGCAACATATCTCCTCCCTCCAACACTCTTCCTGTCCATGTCCTTTCGTGCTCCTCCTGCAACAACTCTCTTCCACATTGTACTTTTGCCAATCCTACTCTTGGATTTTTCAATTTCTTTTAATTTCATCAAATCATTTTTTCTCACCCTCTAGCTCCTCCAAAACCCCTTGTGCATTGAGTCTCCTCCAGCACTCCTCCTATAGCAGCTCTCCAGCTCCTCCAGCACTTCTCCTGCAACAGCTCTCCTCCAACTCCTCTAGCACTCCTCCTACAACAGCTCTCCTCTAGCTCCTCTAGTAGATGGCTATGCCACGGCTAAGGCCAGCCAAGGTAGTGCTAGCCATGGCCGAGACCTTGTGCCACCATGGCTGTGCTTGCTATGGGCCATTGGTGGTGTAACTTTGGCCCTAGCTGTGTGGTTATAGATACCACAGCAACATCATTGGCAATCAAGGTTGCCAGTGGTTGTGGTAAGCTTGGCAAAACATTATCTTTTATGTTGAGAAAGGACCAATTCGCACATTTATTTAGTGAAAAAAAACTTAAGCGACCCACTTTAAAAATTAAGAAAGTACATTGAAAAAATTTGTGTTGCAAAGTAAACTTATAAGGACTTTTGCATTCGCACATGTCTTAGATTTAAGTGGAAAAACACCCTCGGATTCGCACTTAAAAACAATGCACTCGAACACTTAAAATTCACTTAATTCAAATTTTGAAATTTCAAATTCAAATTCAAATGTTTAGAATTATATCCTGGCAAATTTCAAAGCAAACACGAACGCCACTGGCAAAGACAGAGGGAAAACGTGAGGTTCTCTCTAACCTCTTTTGCATCCTCTGGACTGTGCAACTCCTCACAAGGTTCCCCTTCCGCTTGCTCGGGATCACTGTAATCAACAAAGAGGTCCTGGTCCTTGAGCCTTTTCACCTCTTTCCTCCAAGCTTGGATCTCCGCCCGAAGATCAGTCTCCCCAACATCAATCAAGAAATTGTGCAAGATGCAACAACTCTTGATGATGTTAGGAAAGTACTTTGGCTGGATCCTTTGTTTTTGATCCAAGCATCTGAACTTCATTTTAAGAAGTCCAAATGCTTGCTCAATAACAATCCGAGCAAGGTGGTGATGAAGGTTGAAAGCTGCCTTGGATGGTGTCGGGTTCGGAGCTGAGCAACAACCAAAACAAGTGAACAAAAGAAAGTAGAATGAAGAAGACTTACTTGTGTGTGGAATCATCAGATGCTGCTGGAGTTGGTACCCTTTGTCCCCCACTAGGTATGGCTTGATCCTATCACCATATACTAACACCGTGAGCGATGTCAGCAGCTCCCTTGCTACAATCTTGTTCCCGAGGGTTGAATTACGAAAAACCCTCATGTCGTGGACGCGTCCTGAAAGCAAAAAGAACATTTTAGAACCATCCACAACACACAAAGAAACATACCTGGCCACCCAGCGTAGATACTGAGGAACCTCTTCTGGGCATCACAAACGCAAGATGACTGAGTACCGCTGCCTCCGGTCGTAGTAGCTCTCGCCGTCCAGTCTAGTAGTCGATCGCCCCAGCAACATTAGGCAGTCAGGTTCCTATTGGTCATCAAAACTTATAACAATCCAAAAAACATAAGAAAATGTACCTGTCACTTGTCGAAAGCCAGCAGTAACAGCTCGAACCTCCTTGGCGGTTGAAGGAAAATGAATCTTGTACCTGAGACACTTGACAATCGCCACAGTAGTGTCCATGACAATTTCATGAGCTGTGGACTCCCCGATGCCGAACTTGTCCGCCAGATCCAAGTAATCTGTGTTCTTGAAAAACTTGTACAAAGTCACCCCCAGTCGAACATCCACCGGCACCACACTCCTCCAACCGGTATCTTGCTTCCGGATCTCGCTCTCCAGCATGCCACAAATGGTGAAGAAGGTCCTCTTCTCCATCTGAAGTTTCCCCCCACATCGTAATACTCCAAAGAAAACTTACTCTAGGTGGCGACATTTCGAGGCTTCACCCACCACAGGCCGATGCAAAACCTCCTCCCAATCACAGCCCGACGAACCTCAAGTTCACGGTCTTCTTCCTCTGGCAGCGGGGCTCTTGTCATCCGCAATGTGCATTTAAACCCTAAAGCAAAAGGGTGAAAGATGAGATTCCAGCGCTGTGTCTTCGTCATGAGAACATGCTGGCTGCTCCTCCCTCCCCCGCAATCTTCGCGAGATGTTTTTCCCCGAGCGAGATCAATCAGGAGCATGGTCTCAGCATGGTTCCAGTTCTTTCCCCGGGTTCTCTTCGCAGCAGCAGGTGCAGCAAAACCCGAGGTATCCACAAACTGGACAGCCTCGTGGTCGAGCTCCTCCATGTGAGCATCCATCCGGGTCTTGTTCCAGATCGGGGACGCTGTCATCTCCCTCTTCTTCATGACCCTGCCGGGAGCTCTCAATCACTCATGCATGCATGCAACCTAAGAAATGTAAACTCACTGCCATCTCTGGTTCTCAAAGCAGTTGGAACTCCCGGCACGCTGTGCTCCAGGGGAACTCCTCCAGACGTGGCTTGGGCTCCTCCGGGTGCGGCTTGGACTCCTCCCGCTGTGGCTTCGGCTCCTCCCACCGAGGCTTGGCCTCCTCCTGGCGATGATACATGGCCTCCTCCTCCCGAAGAAGAACCGCCTAGGGTAGAACCATGGCCTCCTCCTCCCGGGGCACCCCCTCCTCGAGCCGCCTCAGAACCATGGCCTAATCCTCCCGGGGCCAGATTCAGAGATCCGCGGCCAACCCCGGCCACCCCGCTCCCTCCTACCACTCCATGGCCACCTCCCTCCATGGGCACCTCTTCCTCCTGTTGCTGTTTATGGCGACTTCCTCCTCTTCCAACCCTAAACCTGCTTCCTCCACCTCCTCAGGTTCTCCTCATAAATCTCCGCGGCTGCTGCCATGTTTTAATTCTCGGGCCGGGCCGCGAGATCAGATCTTCTTCGCAGGCACGCCAAACCCTAACTTAAGAATCTTCTCGAATATTTCCGGAATAATTTTTAACAACTTCCCTTAAAATAAAACTAGCGCAAAATATTTTGGGCACATTGAATTTTCAAGCATTTTAGCATCAAGAGTAAGCATTTTAATATTAATTTTAAAATAATCAGTTGAAAGTTATAGCTGTAAGCTCTAGAAAGCAAGGATTTGTAATTAATCAAAACTGGCTTCTTTTATTCTGCAAGTCTGAAATGAAAGCAAATGTCTGCATGGAAAGTTCCAAGAGATTCTAAATTCATCATCCTGGAGATGGAACATAAGATATCCATAATTAAAAGTTACAACATCTACTTGAAAGCTTGATATCGAGGGAGGGTGTTCTAGCATAACCCATTTGGTTTTAAATCGAAGGACCAGGATAAAAACAGAAGTGTTCAAAGGATTGCTTTTTCTTCTAGATTTCCTGTCCAAGTTTTAACTAGTGAAGTTCTATAGAATCTTAGATTTTTTCAGTGACTTACTATAAAGTGGCAAGAAGAAATTGAAGAGAGGTGGTGGAAGTTTATTGAGGACCCAAGCAACTTTATTCTGCTCAACATGGATATTGAGTTCAGAGTCATCACCTTTGGAACACATCAAAGGCAGCCTGGTGGTTCTTCTTGCAGAGGAACTTTTTGCATGCTCTCTTTTGATCACAAAGCATTTAATGTTAAGAAATTGCTAAAAGAGAGAAAGAAATGCAAAATCTAAGATATAATAGTTTTAGGCCATTTGACCAAAGCAATGCTGATAAGTGAGATCTGTGAATTTTAGATTCCTGTTGTGCATACTTGAAAATTTGAGAGTTAAGAAATCCAGAGCAAGAAAGAGCCAGACCATATAAAGTGAAAAAGAGTTGAACTTTTATAAAGCTTTGACGAAGGCAACATAGATACGTGAGATCTGGTGACTCTTTAATTTTCAAACCCGCAGGGAGAACAGAGGTAAGATTCCTTCCAAACCATGAAGAAAAATCACAAATGCATGGCTTGCACTCTCCTGCTCTTGCTTTTGGTTGTGCCTGCCATTGTTACTGCCAGTGTTTTTCTAGCCCGCCATCACCACCACCGCTCAGCCAAACAAAACCCACCAAGCGAAGAAGCTCTGGAAGTGTGGGACGAAGTCTCCAAGCTCTCACAGCATGATCCCAAGTGTCTGGCACTCTTCATCTCCCGCTCACCACAATCTCCACCAAAACCTATAGATGCCTGCCTCCATCCCCAGCTGGAAGCCATCCCCAAACTTCCAACACTTGAGCCCTCCTCGGACTCCAAAGCTTGGGGCCCAGTGTACAAGGAAGACACCACCTCTGCTAACAAACACCATATGGTTGTGTTCTGGGGCACCTCCACCCAGGCAAACATGTGTGTCAATTGGATCCTGTTTGGAGAGCTACCATGGACGTTGCTTACAAGTCTGAGCTCTTGCCTCTCCACCTATTCCAACCAGACCTCAACTACGTCTCCCAAGGTGTGAGCTACACACACCAAGTTGTGGAGGTGAGTCCAAACGCATCGCTTCTACTCATTGGGTGCCAGACTCACAGTTCTCAGCTTTAGTGGACCTGCTGCTGTTGTTGCTGTCAGCAGCCTGGGAGCTAGAGGCTCACTGCAGTTGTGGTCCTTTCAGCTCTCTTAGGAGATGATTCAAAACATGGCTGTGATTGGAAATGGGTGGGATTCCATGTTCACGGCATCATGGGACAACATTGGCACGGCTTGTTTGGTGTAGCACCAGGGAGCATCGGACAGTGGCTTGTTCAGTGAGTGATGGGAGCTCCTTCCAGGCACACAGCCTGAATGGGATTCTCAATAAACTATAGATAGGAGACAAGTCTACGTGCTTAGTGCATTAGAGAGCAAGTGTGTGCTAGAAAAAATTACTGTGCATCTGTGAGGTGTTTGTGACTGGCAATAAACAGCCATCCTGGATTTGCTAGAATGCAAACACATGCCTGAAGAACCATCACAATGTTAGTCATTTTTTAAAAAAAACCAAAGCTCACTGGATTCTATTGTATTGATCACGATGCCATTGATCAGATTCACTGGACTGGAGAAACATCACAAGGCACCTTGGATTCACTTGAATGTTAGAGTACCTGGAGAAGCAGCACATTGTTTTTTTCTTCTGAGCAATACCTGTATCGTTAAGAAATTCTGAATACTCTCTTGCATTTTAGACATATTTGATAGAGCAAACCAGTGACCTCATCAATCTCTGCTGCTTGTGGGTGAAGGCTGACCCTACAAGATCTTCGTCCCTGTCCCTCGCACTGACCTTCTCACCTGGCTGCTACATACATGTGACTGATCCCAAACTCCTGGTGGATGGCCTTAAGATCTTCTGGCTGGTGATGCTGCTGCTGCTGCTGCTGCTGTGATTCCAACTCTCTCTCTCTCCAGCCACTACTGTCATTTATCAGATACCAATATGTAGTGGTGCTCAAATTTTGTATCCTGGATCCACATGAGAATGACGTGATAGCAAAGAGCAAGACTTACCTGTAGCATTAAGTCGACTCTACCATTAGGACTTCTAGATAGCCTTTCTGTCACCATACTACCATAAAAAACTGTGACAAAACCATACCCCAACCAAAGAATTTCCTCTAGCTTTGACAACAAAACTTACAAAGAACTATGATTACCTGTATCCCAAGATATTCATTGACTTTCTCCAAAAAGAATAGATATTAGAGGTTCCACTCTGTAATCAGGATGAAAGGATAAATGTAAACACTGGTCACACAGAAGTATATTGATACCTATAGGTGAGAGGATCATATGGGTGAAATATGTTCATCATTTGCCTGCATGCTGGCTTTTTTTCTTCAATGCCTTCATCTTCCCAGTACTCATGACCTGTTCTTATGCAAACACATTCAAACGACATTGCAAAGACCATAAATCATACACATACCCGTTCCAAAGTATACATTCTGGAGACTCAGAAACAGTGGCGATTCAACTGTGAAAAATGTGAGAACGAAACTTGGAAGAATCAAGGAGCTCACTCTCTTTGTTTTGTTCCCAATGCTGCACAGTGATACGAGAGAGAGTCAAACATGAAACCCTCATATATGAACAGCCATAACATAAATACATAAGCGCTCCTGGAAAAATGCATTAAAAAAGCTGGTTTACCCTAAAAGAAAAACGTTCCACCCTCAACTGTTTTTTCCCACATGTCTTCATCTCCACCATTAAGCTCGTAAAGAATTTCGATTGAATATGTCACCCTTGCTCTTTTAAATATAGAAGGATGATGACCGATTTGGTCGGGGTTTTTGAAAATTACTTAAGAATCCTCTAAATTTGCCTTTTTTTTTCTTGCGAATCCCCATAAAAAATAAGGGTAAGTACATTACTTTAGCTTAAGTTATTGTGCAAATAGGGAAAACGTAAATTTTGAACTTTAATTTTCGGGTACTCTTGGTCCAGAGCTAAACTCTTATAAACATCTCTAAACATGCTCATTTAATTAACCACCAATGAACGGCAAAGATATCTTACTCCCCCACTAACTTTCTTTTGAAAATAAAAAACTAAAAGCAAAGAAGATATTATCAAACACTATTTTTTCAATGTTTGTTTTTTTTCTTATTTTCTACTATTAACTTACAACTCAATCACACAATATTTGGAGCTGGAAGAATTGAATCCAACTTAATTTCAGCAAACTGATGAGGATGGACAATTTTTATTTTCATTTTCACTTCTTAATTTAAATTTCTTAATTTGTTTCTACTCTTCTTATACACACTTCTTCGGTGTATTTGGCCCATTATATTTAACTGAAACACATGTACATGAACACTAGTACACTACGTACTAAGCCTATGATACACACTTGTTGCTAATTCTCAATGATTTGTGTGTCTGCTGGTTGATACACACACACACTGTGTAGGGCTAGCTCCATCCACAAGAGAGCCTTGAGGTTGGGCACCAGAGGCTGGAAGAAGTTGTCACAGAGAGAGCAAGCAGGTCACCACTCACGACAAGCTCAAAAAATCTGGAAGGAAGACGTCGCCAAGGAACTGTTGAGTACGTCACAAGAAACAAATGCTGTCGTCACCAGCTTCCACACGTCTTCAACGTGCTCTAGGAGCACAAACCCAAAGTTGGGTACTGGCAAGTCTTCATACTAGGGCACTCCGTTTTGGGGCACCTGTTGGCAGGTTTAGTCAGCATTCCCCGATTCTGCTACCAAAAAGAAATTTAAATTTAAGACTCCTTTTGCATAGTTTTAACTTTTAAATGTTAATTTTTTCTCCGTGAAGTTCAGGTTGACAGCAGTACTTTGACAAGGCATGCTCACTCAGCGGCCCATGTTTCTGCTTGACTCACGGAGGGTTTAAAACCAGGGATAACTGCAAGAAAGAGCACTGACATGTTTTCAAAAGTAGTTGTCACAGGAACATCTGCCATCCTGGAACACATGAACCCGACTGGCATCTTTGCAGATGATTAGCCTTTTTTCCAGCTTAGAGATGAGAGCAGTGGCCGCATGGCAATCGTCACAAACTCGGAGATTTTTCACAATTCTGATGGTCTCCTTCTGGTGCGAGTTCACCAGAGCACACCCCAGCGCAAGCTTCTCACTGTGGCCGCACAGGTGATCCTCTTTCTCTTCCTCGGGTATGTCTTTTAGAACGTTGATCACATCACTCGCGTACCCCTCCTCTTTCATTCTCAGCAACAATTGCTTGAGCTTCGCCGCAATCTCGTCGCTCTGTGAGTGACTCCTATCCCCGACAGAAAAAGAATGCACTTTTCCTGAGCTAACATCCGTCCACCAGCTTCTCCC